AACAATACATATATAATATAAATTTTAGGATCACACCAGAAAATTTCCGGTCCACCTTCGAAAATAATTACCCATATCTATATTTGTTAAAATCAAATTGTTTAAAATTTAATTATCAAAACTTGCTTTTAAAATTTAATAATAATAGATTATGAATATAAACTTTTTGTATAAAAATTTATGATTTTATATTAAAACTAATCATGCAATGTATCATTGTATTTATTGTATTTGACATTTAATCATAAATTGATTTTATTTATTTATTTCTAATATGTTTGATTTTAATAGTCCAGTATATAAGTTATTTGATATTATAAATTTGGTTTAAATATATGAAAAACAAAAAAACTATTTTCTATTAATAAAAATATTTGTTTGATAATGAAATCAACTATGTTTTTGAGGATTACTGTTAATAGTTTTCAAAAAATTCATTATCAGATATTGCCATTTTATTTACACAAGTTGAATCTTGATCGAATGACTTCCGGATTTCTTGTTCTAGCCAAAGTAACTACCTTAATCGCTTTTCATGAATAAAGATATTGCTAAATCAAAATGAATGACCATAGTTAACTGTGCATAATGTGAAATATAAAAGTAGCTTCGTTTATTCTCGGTTAAGCCAACGATTAAAGACTAAACGCTGATTTAGAACGAAATGAAAGCTCTAAGACGAAGATGTACCATCCACTCCAACTTGTCATGGCTCATTAATAATGCTAAAGCTCTCTTCTTATACCTTGCATAAATCCCAATTGACATACTCTATTTCATCTTAAAATTCTGTAAAAATACGAATTTGCCATCAAATCGTCTAAAAATCAAATACTTACATCATGCATCAATTGAATAGGTTTTGAGCTTGGTTTTTTTTTTAATTTCAGAGCTTAGATAAATACTTTTCATTATCGGTTTCTTCTGAAACCTAAAGTGACATCAACCTCTTTGCTAACCATGATTCCATACGTTTTGCTTTTAAAATTGTATTGATTGCTTTGGCTGTTGGAACGAGGAGATAATAATTTTACTAGCCAAATAAAATTCATGAACCACGTATAGGTCCATGGAACTTTCTCAACGGAGAGGTATCTCTTGACACGCGTTTATGTCGAAAATAATTTAGACGCGACGCGTTAAAGTGAAAAAGAATCGAGTGATTTGTACAACTTTTTTAACCTTAAATTATGATCACATGATTCAATCATAATTAGTGATAAAAGTTACTGATTTTGATCATTGGAAAAAAAACCCTCCGAAAATCAGGAAACCGCTTCACATTTTAAAGGTAAAATCATCTTTGACTATTTATTGTACGAATATCGCGTTGTTTACAATGAAGAAGAAATTGTTGGCACCAGTCTGACCATTCATGACAGAATGAATAAAGAATGTTTTACTATATACGCATTTAAAAACATTCCTGAGTTAAAAAACGCTTATAGTGTTTCCTTAATAAAGTTGTCGGCTTTACAAGTTCATTAAAAGATGCTTCTCTTTGTGGTAATTAGAAACTCGTGGGCCTTTGATAAAATACGAAAAAAATGTTCGCCCAGGAACGCGAGTTACCCATTTCAGAAACAACGATTATTGTTCTGCTTGTATTCCTTTTGGTTTTCTTTAGAGGATTCAGCGTGTTCATGCAAAAACGTACTGTCACCGTGGGATTGAAGAAGATTGTGACGATTGTTGTGATGGGTGATATCGGTCGGTCTCCAAGGATGCAATATCATGCTTTGAGTTTTGCGCAAAATGGATGGACTGTAGATTTTGTAGGATACGATGGTAATCTTTATTTGGTCATCGGTAGATGTAATATTGAATGCATATAGTAACTCTACATGACTTCTCTAGGTGTCAAACCATTGGATTCCATCACGAATAACCCTTTGATCAAAATTCATCACATATCCCATCTGTGGCGATTTCCAGATAATTTTCCAAAGTGGCTGTTTATTCTGTGTACTCCAATCAAAGTGTACTTTCAGATATTGTCATTATACTGGACTTTATTTATGAAGACGAGTGGACCAGATATTATGCTTGTTCAGGTGAGTTACGATCTCTTGAACGGCGTAAATTGTTTGTAAAATCCATATGGCTTCATCTAATTTCGAGTTACTAGAATCCACCTTCAATACCGACATTGATGATCACGCAATTTGTTTGTTGGCTACGGCAAACCAACCTGATAATTGATTGGCACAATTTCGGATACACCATCCTCGGACTTCGATTGGGAAAGGATAGTCTAATTGTTAAATTCGCAAAATGGTTCGTTATAGTTGTTTCAATTTCATGCCTCTAATCGTAACTCGGAATCGTTAATGATTTGAAATTTACAGGTACGAGAAAATATATGGAGGCAGAGCAGGTGCACACTTGACCGTAACTTCGAAAATGCATCGTGAATTGATGTATAATTGGGAGGTTCAGTAAGCAATATACATAAAAATGTTACTTTTTTTTCGTACTTGCAAAGAAGGTAATTTTCAATTTTTCGAAATAATATATTAGAGGACGCATTGTCACGTTGTATGATCGGCCGCCGACAAATTTCAAAAGGTTAGAATTAGAGGAAGTTCACGAGGTTTGCAATTTTCTTTAATCGATCGATCGATCGGTCAATCAACCGGCATCTTATTTTATCTGGATTATCCCACGTTCAGTTTCTCACACGGTTTAATTTGGAAAAAATTGTTTCGGAGCAAACAATCAACTCACATTTTCTTCCGTCATCGTCATCGGCATCAACATTGCTAACGAGCAAAACTTCACCAACAAATCCTGCGAAATACCGTGATGATCGTCCCATATTGATAGTTAGCAGCACTAGTTGGACTGCTGATGAAGATTTTTCTATGTTATTGCAGGCCGCACAAATATGTGATCAATTTGCGGAGCTGTGTTCTAAACAGGATTCAAGCAAAAAATTCCCAAAGTTACTTTTTGTCATCACCGGCGAAGGACCCCTGAAGAGTAAATATGTAGAGGAGATAAGTAAAATGTCGATGAATCAAGTTAGGATTGTGACTACTTGGTTACCTGCAGAAGATTATCCTTTATTATTAGGTAGGCGTTCACGTGTTTTACATGGTGGCGAGATGAAGAGCTACTAAATTACTTGTATCACTCATAACTTGTAGGCTCCGCCGATCTGGGACTTTGTCTTCATACATCTTCCTCGGGAATGGATTTACCCATGAAAGTTGTGGATATGTTTGGATGTGGAATACCCGTTTGCGCTGTTGAATTCGACTGGTATTATTTATGGATGTTTATAAGCTTGCGATGTGTTGCTTTTGACTTGGATCCCATAAAATTTTCTAAACATTCTTCCATTTCCGTTCAAAAGCCTCGATGAATTAGTCAAACATGATAAAAATGGACTGATATTTAAAAACGGTGAACAGTTGGCGCAACAATTAATTGTAGGTGTAGTTAATAATTCCGATTGGTGGTTTAAGCATGTTAACTGATTGCTTAAATAAATTTTAGGATTTGTTCACGGACTACCCAGCAAACAAGTCAAAGCTTGAATCAATGGAAAAACGCGTGGACGAATATCGAAAAGAAAATTGGGAAAATAACTGGAATCGCACTATGCTTCCTTTATTGAGCACGTTGGTTTGATTATTAGACGCAGAAATTTAGAATTTTCATGTTTACATTGTTTTTATATTTAGAATTTTTTTTTTTTTTTTCTATTGTGTACTTTTATTCGTTAATAAAGATCCAAAAACCCTACATGCATTCAAGCCTATCTTACTTAGATCTTTTGTATTAATTATGATAAAAGTAATATTACGGTTATTTGTTCGTCAAAAAAAAACTGAATAATGTACACTCAATGCAAAGAAAAATTTTTTTGCAAATATACAAGTGGATAAACCACTTAATAATAATTATCGATTAAAATGATTGGTCCCGATAATCAGTGAGATAATTGCTGTTAACAAATCCACGGATGCAAATCTGTTGTTCCTCGGAAATATGGGTCCAACAGTAGGGTTCAATGTTTTCCGGCCTATTGGGAAATCCATCCATGATTCTTTGATCAAATGCAAGCATGATGAAGGTGGGACTAGATTGATCGAAAAGTAGGCACCGAGAGGCTTCGTCTCTGCTCACGTCATCCTGATCTTGTATCATTACTTTCAAACAATATACGCTATTCTTAAACATCCCTTTTGCGACGACTTTCATAACGACATAGAATCTCTTTGAGGAAGAGCAATGTCTTGAAACATTTTGAGAAAGTGGCCATCTTTGAATAAATAAATGGGGATTTTCATATTTCCATTGATAATTTACTCGATAGCCGTTTTGATTATGCATAAAGTAATTAGGAGGTGAAAAATGTCGACGCAGCGATTGTATCACCTCATAGTCAAAGTAAATTCCGGCATATTTAATTCTTCGAACGAGCTCAATTTTTGTATCCCATATACTACTGTTTTTATTATGATCTTCAATTATCTCATTGACGATTCTGCGTTCTCTGTTCATATCTAAGTAACGCATCTTAAGAATCACATGATTCACCTTGCCTTGGAGAATTTTCTCTTGGCATTTCAATTCGTTAAGTAAAGATTGAAATGCCTTGACATGATTTTTTCGATCTTCCCACATGACGATTAATTTGGTCGAAGGGTGATGCGATAACAAATCTTCGATGAACCTAACTTTAAAATTCTTGGTAGTTATTGGTATACCCACAACCGTTTTCATCGATGTGAACTCCTCGTATTTCGTTCTACCCACTTTTCCGATAATCGCAGGATTATAATATAAACTCCAGTCAAGAATATCCTGATCTGGTTTGAATCCCATTACATCGAAGGTCAATCCTTTCCTGGATGTCATCTCGGCAATGACCTCATGAAATTCCGAATACTTTCTCCCGGTAAGCAGAATCGTTAATGAGTTTGGATGCGCCATCGAATTGCGAACAAGATCCACCACCTTCTCGTTCCACCAATTATTCCATACTCGGCTCTTTACATGTTCTTCAAAGTCCAATGACTTCTTACTCTGATACCATCCTTTATAAAGTTGATCATTCTTTAGCAGCCCTATGAGTGCGTTTTCCCATAATCTGGGATTTGGCTGTGGAGATGCAAAAAGCGTGCCATCAAAATCAAAAATATTAATTGAATCAATCTGATGAAAGTCCTGCATAGGTGCATCACTTGTCTTCTCGGATGAAACAATCGAATCTTCTAACAACTCTTCTATCTGTGATCCATCAGTGTGTGGTGAGATGGATGGAAAGAACGAATTATCAAATTCGGGAGTCTCAGTTTTAGTACTCATAACTTTACCTCTTTCCTAGAAGAGTATAGGCGCTCACGCAAGCAGATGTATGTAATAAATGTAATAAATGAGAGTTCTCTGTGTAACCATTAGTCTACATTAGGGGAGAGATAAAACCATGATCGATTTATTTTCCTATATACGTACAGTGCAATACGTAGTTTATATCTAAAATGAGTAATCGCCAACGCAAAAACGCTACTGCTTCACCATCCCAGGCTGTCGACGACATTCCCGACGAGGAGAAGATAAGATTAATAAAATCAACGGGTCTACTTAAAAACCTCAAAGAATCTAAAAAGGTTTCTAGTGAACTGGAAGACGATCCATTCGAATATGGTTTTACTTTTCAAGCTTTTCTATATACTATTCCTCTTTGTGCTGTCTTTAGTGTAATGGACATTCTGGTCCACAGACAGTACAACGAAGAAGTTTTGTTCTCTCCGTTCGCTACGAGAGTCGCCAAGGTTGCTCCAAGTAAGTTGGCGTAACTGCCTCTACTGTTTACTTTTTGAGTTCGATACAATATTGATGATTCTTTTATTTATCTACCCAGTTCTTTGGATCCTGGTTTACTTTACAAACAAAAATGTCAATAAAAATTGGGTGCAACTTTCAATGTTTCTGGGTTCACTCGCTTGTGGAAGTTATTTGTTGTGGGTTATTAACAGAGCTAATTATTACGGAGTGATGCGTAGATGCCCTTCCCTCGCCACTCTCTGGGTTTACCTTGTCATACAACTCCGACTGTTACCTTCAGTTTTGAGTTTGATCTGTGTCTACCTTTATTTTTTCTACATGGGATTTAAATTCTAGGATTATCATTATCTGATATACAGTATAATTTAATTGTTTTTTTCCTTTTGGCGCAAAGAAATATTTGAATGTATTCTGTAAAAAAAAAAATAGATATAATCAAAATATAGAAAAACTAGATAAAAATAAATGGGTCAATTAATAATACAACGCCGTATACAGTGCTGCTTTTGTAGTATATCGCAAGGATTAATTATGATACTTGACTAAATGATTTGTCTATAGAATGCATGGTATAATAAAGATAATAAATAATTTTATTGATCCTCCGGAAATCGAGGTTTCTATTCAATACTGCTTAAATTAAAATTTGAAACGGTTACTCTTAGGTTTCGTTTTATCGGATTGCGTAGAACTGCTGGGTGGTGGTCTTGGAACGTTGATATATTGTTGGTTAGATGCTGGCATGCTCTGTGGTAAGTTTTGGTAGCCCTGGTTTGGCCTAGAATAACCTCCCTGCGCGTAATTGCTACTCTGTTGTTGATTATATCCGTATTGTGAATATCCACTTTGCACTTGTGACACGTAGCCACCTGATGGAGAAGGTCTGGAAGCTCCGGGCGGTGTTTGATTTTCTTGTGAACTCGGGCGAGCAGGCAAAGGTGGGGCTTTTTGCTCCGAGGGTGGATTCAGGAGAAGTGACAAATCATTAATGAAATTCTTAGGATTTACTAGGTGTGTTGAACCTAACACAAAAAGAAAATATGTTAGATGTAATTGCAAGGTGGTAAAAATAAATAGTGCCTTCCATACCAATAATTACGTCCAGACGATGTTTATCAGAAAGTTCGTAACAGGAACGAAGTTCCGAGTAAGATACACCACCAGCCACGAATACTATTATACGACCCGCACGACTTTCAGCCTGAAAATGTTATAATAAGATTAAAATACCCGCTCATAAAAAATATCAGCACAAAATAAGCACATTGGTAAATGCTTACCGCCTGACCCTTCTTATACCAACCTGCCCTGGCACTATACATACAAGATAACATTAAATTTGAGCACAATAAAATAATTCAGTCTAAAATACGAAGTTATCTACCTTCTTAAAGATACAGGCCCTTGTTGTGTGGCCTTAGAACCATCTGGGTCCCCGGTTGGATCCTTCGTATATGGATAAGCCGTGTGGTCTATCGTTTTATCGATGTGACTCTAAATAATGATAATAAGTCATAAACTCGTAAAGAAATGTTATGTACCATGAAGAAATAATATTGTAAGACAATACCTCCAATACAAGTTTTAGCTTTGGAATATACCGAGAAATCTCGTATGGCATTTCTTCTCCTTGTTTCTGCCTATACTTCTTTGGCTTCTTCACCGATGGAGTCTAAATAAATAAATAAATAATAAATTGAATTATTCGAAAAATTGATAAAGCACAAGAGATTGGTAATATTTGAAAAACGAACCCTAATCAATTTAACACCGAAAAATCCCAAGTTGTTAATGGCATCGTTTTCTGATAACGAAATTTGCGCGTGTGCCAATAGTTTGCGTCTATCTTCCTCCAGAATGCCGTTCTTATACATTATGTATAACATGAGCATCCTAACTTTAGTCGTTGAACTAAATTTTATTTAACGATACATTAAATAAATATTTTTTTAAAAAAATTTTTTTTTGTAAAACAAAGATCCTAGTGACTTACCTAACCACTGGGTTATCTAACAAAGGTACCATATCTTCAACAAGTGTCTTTGGATGAGCGAAATCGGCTGTAAACCCTGTAGCGCAATTCTATAAAAAAATTTTTGCATCAAAAAATAATATAAATTAAATAACTAAAAAATTAAATATTATCAATCAAATTACCTGTTCTATTATAGCGATTTCAGAAAGCCTCTCTCTTTCAAACATTGCCATACACTCTTGTGCAATACTCATATGGACAGAAAGCTACAGATTTTATTAGGAATATAATTAGTTTGTCCAAAATTTTTTACATTATTATGTCGGTAATATATATTACCAACCTTTTCCTTCATACTCTGAAACTGTGGTAAAGTTGCCAACATTTTTTTCATATCGTTCAGGTTGGCCGCTTTCTCTCTACATAATAATAATAATGATGATGATAGAAAAACAGTTATGAGAACTTCATTTCCTTAACAATCAATAATCAACGAATCGTCTACTTACTTGTCAGTGAAGCCAGTGTGTTCACCCAAAAACTCGTTAAAATCTTTTATGAGTTTATCGATGCATTCTTTCATGTGTTTATGTCTATTGTCAACCCATACATTGTCGGTATCATCCAATATAGCCTCCGTCGCCGCTTGTTCTCCATCCTCACCCGTATAATTATATGTGTACTTGTTTCCATCCTCGATCGGCAGGAGGTCGTTGGCCATGGCTTGATATGTAAATTCATGTAGTAGCGGAGCACACATATCAATAGTTCGATCCGCAATAAATAGAACGGCCCGTGGGCGTTGTGGATCTTGCAGCTACATGAATAAATACTCAACTATGAAGACATTCTGTAGAATTATGCAAATATAACCATCTATCTATCTGTTTTTATACTTACTGGAAAACCATTATGATTGAATTTTACATAATCGTCTAACTCTTGTTGCACCAACATGGCTAATTTGTAAGGTAAACTTTTTGTCGGATGTTCAGCATCCAGTCCCCTTTGATATCGAATCAACGGATTTTCTCCCAACGAAATACAAATAGAAAGAAGCTAAAAAAAAAGGGCCATTAATTATAAAAAATATATATATACAAGCAAAAATCATAATGATTATATATATATATCCTACTTTCTTTGCAAGATTCCTTATTTCTAAATCAAACTTATCCTGTTTCTTGGGTGAATATAAATTGAAGTAACTTGATGGAGACTCGAAAGAAAAAACACGCGCTTCTTTGGCTGTACAAATTGTTAAAAAAATGAAATTTTTAATTCTGACGTAGTATAAAGATCCATCATCCGGTGACACGAAGCGAAAGATATTTAGACTTTTTAGATCACTAAATGTACTCCTATCTTATGTAAACCAGATCAGATTTATGAACTAACCATGAAAATCGATATAGAGTTCTTTGCATGTTTTCACATAAGCTGGAGGGAGTTTGGCCTTTAACTGTGGAGAAATTGCTAAACGAAACGAAAAAGTAATGAGTTACTTTTAAGAGATTAACTAAAAATGGATAAATATGGAAGAATTTCGAAGATCTGACTCACAAGAGATAAAGAATAGATGGGCACCAGCGTACAAAGGTGCCTTTTGTTTTGAACAATCATCAATTACTCTAGCAACTGATTCTTCAGATGGCGTAATTATATAAACTGCCTCCAGGGTTTGATAAGCCTGACGTGGCTTTTCAAGACTTTCAACCACTGATTTAAATTTCCATCAGTAAGACGTCAAGGACCACGAAACAGAATTATGCACGGATGACAATAACCTTAGAATAATGACTCACAAGTAACTTTCTCCTCCAAGATGTCGTACATCTTAACCGCAGAATCCATAATCTTGCGCGATGGCTCATCTACTATCACCACTTTCCAACCCCCGGGGGGTTGAACGGATCTAATTTCATTAAGGATACCTGTGAAAGTCGTAATATCAAGGTAAGTAAATTTGATTTCAAGAAAGAAACGAAAATATTTTGATTAGTAAAACTTGCGTTGTTTAAGGATTTCGTGAATAGCAACCATTGCCTTGTCAATTTCGATTTAAAAAATGCGCATAAAAAAAGTGCTTTTATCTACTACACACAATACGTGAATTCTAAATATAGACTTGATGGAAAAATCGGTCAGCGGAAAAAAGTTCTCCCGGTTCTTTTTTTAAATACACCGTGATATAAAATATAACAAAGGATTAGGATAATGAAAACCTATTTTCTTAATTAAAAAATTTCAAATTTCAATGGTTTTAATGGTATTTATCAAGTTATATTTTATATTTTTTAAAAAAAACTCTTTCTATTGATTCTTTTGCCAATTCAAAAAACAGATATTCTTGAAATCTTTCATATTCTTTAATAATTTTAATAATAAAGTTTATTAACAAAATTTTTTTGAAATAATTGTTTTTTCTCTTTATTTCATTTAAAAATAAAAAAATAAAAAAAAAACTCTTTCTCACTCCCTCTTCTACGCTTGAAATTTTCCTTTTTAGAAAATTTTTGAGTTGTTTACTCTTTTTCTTCACTCTCCCTTTTCCACTTTTCTTTACTTTCCCTTTCCCATATCTTTTTATTTCTTCTTTCCTATTTCTCATCCTTTCTTTCTATAGACTCTTTTATATAAAACTTATCCTCTCCCCTTTCTTTTTCCCCTTCCCTGCCAAAGTTAGGTTTTTCCTTCTTCCTAAAGGTTTTCTTTCTAGACCTTTCTTTCTTTTATAAACACACTTTCCATAACATCAATCCCTTGGCCAGTTGGCTTCCTTTTCTCAAAACCATATACAGAAGTGGTAACTTCTTTTAAGACATAGGTTTCAGAATTTTTCTCTCTTCCATGGCCTCATAGAAAAAGGATGAATGGCTTACCTCTTCAAAAAATCAATATGGTCATTATTACCAAATCCGGTGTTGTTTACTTATTGATAGTTAAACTAGATACATTTAAGAAACCGGTATACAACTATTATTATCCGAAAATATCCAAGGAGTTGTATCCCACTGTATTCAGAAAGATATAGCAGCCAATGCCAATGCAGCTAACAATAAGCTAGATTAGTTGCAGGTGTTATGCTAGTGATCGGAGAACTTAGGAGGATAATACATGAAGACCAGTGATTCTAGTTACTCTCGCAACACAAGCTGGTGACAACAACGAAAGTTTCTTGCTCACCCTTTTGACAATATAGGCTCATTGTATAAGGTTAGGTAACAACATCTATAAGAAACTTCAACTCCATTACGTTTGACAACTTCCTTTAACAATTACCACTATACGTCCAAACACTTTTCTTTCACTCTCTCCTGCCTTATACCGGTGCTGGATTTTACTCAAATACTTAAATGGTGCAGCTATGTGTATAAAGCTTCTTATGAAAAGCAGATATCCCCTTTCCTACTTGTCACAGATGTAGGCAACTGCTATAGGCCTGATCAACCTGTAATCTGCCGCAATTCTAGAAGGGTAGAGAAGGTCAAATACTAGGTGGTCAAATGAAAAGCTAATCTCCATAAGATATCTGTATCGGTGTAGTGGCCATTTAACTAATTGAGTAATTATTCAAAAGAAGTATAAGGTGAAACATATTGGCTTGCCATACATCAAGCCACATTTGGAAAGCAAGCTTGTCAAACGTAATGGAGTTGAAGTTTCTTATAGATGTTGTTACCTAACCTTATACAATGAGCCTATA